CATCTTGGGCAGGATCCTACTTTCTGTCACCTCCGTCAGAGAGTCCAGCTCGACTGGGAGGGGAGAGTTATTGGACAGCAGTAGTATTGATGGAAGTGTGAGCAGGAGGTGCAGGGGCCAAAGTGTCAGATCTGTTGAGAAACAGATCGAGTTCTTTGGCTCTGTCAACATTGCCCTCAACTGCACCATAACCTGCTGACCTGAACCTAGTGATAGTCCCCATCCCTCTCCAGACCTCTCTGGTGTTTTTCTGCTGGAGTTTCCAGCTTCCTCTTATAATCTTCATTAGCTCCTCTGATCTTCACCTTTAAGCACCTCTGAATTATTCTCACATCATCCCAGTTGCCATCTCTGAAATCCCTCTGCTTCTTATTTTCTTTTGTTACCCAAGGCTTGTTATTTGGATAAACAGCAAACTGTCTCAGTAAGGATGATGGAGTCAACACAGAAGTTGATGAAATGTGTTATGCACTCAGTGAGCTCATCAATGTCAGGAATGTCCGGGTGCAGCCATGTCTACATAAAATACATTAAAACTACATTCCTGGTAATAATAACATCAACAATGTAACCCCTGGTGAAAATAAATATTCTAAGTATGTAAAATTTTAGCATACTTGAGCATATTTTTAAGTCAGACTAATCATGAGTATACTTCAAGTTTTCTTAGGATTAGTTAACTTAAAGTGTGACATTTGGAACAACTAATTTTTGTGTGTAGTGTATTTTAATAGAATTTAAATTGTATTAAAACACAATTTAAAAAGTGTACCAAGTGTACTTCAACGTACCTTTTTTTTTTAACCGAACTTAGTGTACTGCTGTACATATTGCTTTTTAAAAATGCTTGATTAGTATATTTTGAGTGTACTATTTTTGTGATAGGATTACATTTAAAACATATTTAGAATGTATTTTCAGTATATTGACATTACATACAGTACAGACCAAAAGTTTGGACACAACCTTCTCATTCAATGGGTTTTCTTTATTTTCATGACTATTTATAAGGCAAGAAAGCCCTCTGTCATGAAGTGGAGGTGTGGAAGTGGTGAGGCAGATGCTGGATACCCAGATACAGTGAGTAGTGGTAATTTAATGGTGAAAATGTCTAGAAACAGTCAACGAACAAGTCTGCGGCCAGGCAGCACGGCTGAGCGGAAACCAGGGCTCACACCGGTAGCAACTGGTCAAACAGGCGGACAATAACACAAACGTCGACACTGAGCGATAACAAACGACAAAACGACAAGGACCCAAGGAGGAACAAAGGACACAGGTGGGATTAAATACACAGAGGGTAATCAGGGGGACAAGACACACCTGGGAGCAATCAAGGGGAAGACAAGACAACGAGGAGACTCAGGACACAGAGAACTCAAATAAACACAACAGAAACACAGAACACAACACCCAGTTATTCACTTGACAGGGCACACCTGTGAAGTGAAAACCATTTCAGGTGACGACTTTATGAAGCTCATCAAGAGAATGCAGAGTGTGTGCAAAGCAGTAATCACAGAAAAAGGGTGTATTTTCAGTTGTTTTACGCCTTTTTGTTTGGTACATATTTCCACATGTGTTAATTCATAGTTTGATGCTTTCAGTGTGAATCTACAATGTCAATAGTCATGAAAATAAAGGAAACTCATTGAATGAAAAGGTGTGTCCAAACTTTTGGTCTGTACTGTGTTTTATATATTAGTAGTGTGATTACAGTATGCTGCAATTACACTTTTGGTTTATTATAATTGCTAATCCCAGCCAGCATACATAGGTGGGCCCATATGGGATATAAGAGGGCAGGCAATATGGGTCCCAAAAGGGTTTGTCCACGGTTTCCATGGTGGCCCCACATGGGTTTGCCCACGTAGATTTTAATGGGTGCTGACTGGGTTTTCAGTGGGGCCCATGTGGTTAACTTACATGAGACCTATCTGTGGCCCACTACGGTGCTTTCATGAATATTTACCTGGGTCCCAATTGGGTCTGAACTGGGCTAGAATATGGGTAACAAGTGGGTTTGTCCACGGTTTCAATGGTGGACCAACATGGGTTTGCCCAAGTAGATTTTAATGGGCTCTGAATGGGTTTTAGTGGGGCCCAGATGGTAAACTTATATGAGGCCCATCTGTGGCCCACTAAGGTGCTTTCAGGATATTTACCTGGGTCCCAATTGGTTCTGAACTGGGCTAGAATATGGGTAATAAATGGGTTTGCCCGAGGTCTCCATGGTGGCCCCAAATGGGTTTGCTCAAATTGATTTCATTGGGGTTTAACTGGGTTTTTATTGGGAGCCAGATGCCTTAATCCTGTAGGAACAGTGGGTTGTTCTCACCCAACTTTGCAGTGAATTTCATTCCTAGATATGCCATCTGAAACAAACCAAAGTCCTAAAACGCTTCATCACAAAATTAGTTTAAAAAAAAAAAAGAAAAATTTATTTTGGTCGAGGCTTTTTATTTTGTAACTCAGCAAGTATTAGTACTTCATTAACAAAGCAAATGCTGCCCCAAGAAATGCGCTCTTAAACAACAAAAATCTACAAAATTGTTCACATGCCATTTTTGAACAACAAATTTGTTTACTGGCACATATAAAAAAGAGAACACAACATGCCCACACAAATAATTCACAATACCTTTCTGTCAAAAATGTCAGAATAACCAACATGCTTACACTTGAAAGCTCTGATATTATTCAAACTGTCCATCTTGCCCACCTGAGTGAGAACTTGCAATCTCCCTGGTTGCTCTAAATCTCCTGTTTCCACCTCTGTCACCTGTAAACCATTTGGAGAGTGCCTTCTCTGTATCTTTATGCGTAATTCCATGGATGGATTTATTTCTTTGAAATCCCCCTAAAATAACAAGCAAAGGTAGAATTTGTATTAGTGTTTTATTTTAGTACAATGTAACATTCGTGAGATTTGCATCTCCCCCTTTATGGGGCAGAAATGCTTGCAGAGATCTGCCAAAATAAAAGTACTTGAGTCTTTATTATCATGAACACACACTTCATAGTTTAAATTGAAAATATCCATCTTTATAAACTACTGATATAAGAAAGGTTCTATCATGGTTTTGTAGAATTATTTTGTTAATATTGTTTGAAATACAAATATTGCATTAAAATTTTGTCAGCTATCAAAACTAGAGTGAAAGAATACTATGTGAATAAAACCAAAATTTGAAGTCTCAGTTTTTAACCTAAAAGGTTACTCAAAATAAACAAAAGGCATATGAGAATCAAAATAAAATAACAATTGTTTAAGGAAAAAAAGTGAAAAGAAAAATGACTCTGACCATAAAAACTGATATTTACCATACACAACATCAAAGAGATGCAGGTCCCGGAACTTGTATTTCTCATGTCGCCCAAAAAGGTTGAACTGGAGTGCCAATTCATGAGACAACAGGAATCGCATAGCCCGTCTTTTTGCGTCATCCAAGGACGCTCCTCCAATTTCTGCAACCATGGCAACCTTAAATATAAACATTAGAAAAATCAGGATACAAAATACATTTTATTTTTTATGAATCGATTTGTTATTGTTTCACACATGTATGCTTAATTTTAGACATGGACAAAATGTCAATTAATTTATGTATCAATTTAAGGTAGGCCAGTCACAATAAATGTTTCTGGACAATAATTTCCCAGAAGTTACTGGGATTTAATGTTTTGAGACCATTTTCAAACAATATAAAAGTAAATAATGCAAGAACACATTCTCAAAGATTGATAAATTTTAAATTCTAATGAACAATGACCACTGCAACTGGAAGACAATTTAACACAACAATGATTAATGATAATTTTACTATTAAGGTACTTTTTGCATTTGTTGAAATTTAAAAGATGACAAGCAAGGACAAATTGGTATTAAATTAAAATTGATACAAGTGCAACAACCAAACAACCTAAGTAAAGGCAACATCCCTGAAACATAAAATAAATGTGCATTTCTTAGATATTACCGTTTTCATGACACTGATGCAACAGTTGCACTTATTACTTACTGAGCTGCTCATTCAAAAATTTGGCATCAAGTACATTAAAAAATGGCTTCATTAAATAATTAGCAAAATATAGAAGAGAATTACATTTTGATGAATTTAAAAATTTATAATCAGTGTTGAAAATTGTTTCAACACTGTGTAAGACATTGATATGTGAGTGGGCTAATTATGCTAGCTTAACTTTCATCACCTTAACATGTACAACATGAGTTCTTGCTGCGCAGTTCAGAGTATTTTGGTTCAATTAACACAAAAATAAGGCAAACCACATAGATTCTCTGACAAATAACCACATGTGCTGGTGTTTAAATTAGCTAATCAACCACCACCAGTGTTCAGGCGATCACGTACTAATGATCGCAAAATGAAAATTCAAAAACATAAATTTGCAATGGACAGAATGTTCTTTTTGGTGTTTTTGTGTACTTTTTTGTGTGGGAAATGTTTTTGTGGCTCTTTAGCGTTAATTGATGCAGTTGAACGTATTCCAGCCAATTCAGCTACAGCTTTGGAATCAGAATCACATAACTGAAAAATACAAAGGATTCATTTGGTTTACACGAAAGCTATCTTTCAAGCTGACTGCCTGTCAGGGTTCTGTGTCAGCCAATACCTTAACCTTCTTACAATAAGCACATTAAAAATTGGTCAAATTTTAAAAAAATAAGTAAACCTCAAATATCAATGTATCCTTGCAAGTAATTACATTATCCTTTTGTGTCAGTCACAGTTCTGGTGGCCCTTAAAAAAACTTGAAATCTGAATTATGCAAACGAATCCTCATACATGGGATTTCCATGAAGGGTGTGGCGCAGAGTGGAATAGTAATCATTCGGGCTAATAGGAGGATGGGAGTTAAGTTACAGCTATAAAACTATGTGTTGAAATCTAATATTATACAGTACAATATAATGCTGAACAATATGTATTGTTGGATATTATATGTATTACCTCTTGTCTTCTCACAGGGCTATAATGATGGCTTTGCCCTTTCTTTCCTGTCTGGGCCTCTGTATGATCATATCAGTCCTTGCATTACCACCCACTGAGCCACCATTGGTTCATGACCATCCCTTTGTGGCCATATGGAATGCCCCCACTGACCAATGCAAACAGCTTGAAATTCCACTGGATACTGCTGCCTTCCAGGCAGTGACTACGCCTTCTGCTGTGCCAGGTCAGTTTCTTACCATCTTTTATGAAGATCGCCTTGGCCTGTATCCTAAAGTCGACATAATCAAGCACAAGATCTACAAAGGTGGCATCCCCCAAAACGGAAACTTGACAGAGCATCTTGCTAAGGCCAAAAGTACAATAGATCACTATATCTCCCAAGATTCCTCTCCTGGGCTGGCTGTGATCGACTGGGAGTCCTGGCGCCCTCTGTGGGACCAAAACTGGGGATCAAAACGTATCTATCAGAAGCTATCTATTACTCATGCTTTGCAGCTGGCTCCCTTTTTGTCAACAAAGAAAATTTCCCAAACAGCCAAGAGCCAGTTTGAGCTAGCTGGGCGACGCTTCATGGAAAAAACTATCAACATTGGCATCGGCAAACGTCCAAGCCGCCGCTGGGGCTTCTATCTTCTTCCTGATTGCTTTAACTATGGATGGAACAAGCCAGGATACACAGGGAGGTGCTCCACTAAAACTAAGAAGCAGAACAACAAGCTGCTGTGGCTGTGGGAACGAAGCACCGCCCTCTTTCCATCCATCTACCTTCATATGACTCTGAGAAACTCACCCCAGGCCGCACTCTATGTCCGTAATCGTGTCCAAGAGGCGCTTAGGGTGGCAGCGCTGCCAAAACACCTCTACACTGCACCTGTCTATGTCTACTCCAGACCCCTGTACCGGGACCAGACCCAAATGTTTCAGACTCAGGTGATTCATTTTTAACATTTCTTCTATATTGTTTACATTCAATCCTGAGTACTAATCCCAGAACTTCTTCTGGGATTAGTACTCGGGTTCTCAGCACCAACACACTAATGACGCAAGAAGTGAAAAGGTCAATAATGTTTTTTTTTTTTTTTTTATCATTTATGACCAGAACATCTCACAGTGTCCTCTGCACTGTTGGTTCAGAGATGTTTAAAAATCTTAAAATAAATTCAGCTTTTTTGTAGCAGCTTAATCTTCGTGAACATTTTATAAAAAAACATTTCATTTGGGAACATTCATTCAGAATGAAAAACTACCAAATGAAGACTGTTGTGTCTACGTAAAACAGGCAACTTCTTCAAATTTAATTAGGTCCACAAAATATTAGAAAACATTCCAAAAAAAACTGTTGCATTCCATTTCGATATTATTATGCTGATATTGTGATGAAGATTTATTAGAAATATATTATGTACCACTACATATTATATTTAGTGCAAAAGCAATTTACTCAAAGAAATAAATTGTTTGTGTGAATTGTATTTGCTATTTTCAGACCAGCAGTGAACCCTCATGTATGCTAAAGCTAAGCTAAAGCTAAAGCTGGGTTCCTGCTTTCCTCACTTTCAAATGATTCAGACTGTTTTTATTTTATTTTTATATTCTCCATACTTTTCTTAGAGCCATCATCAGTGAACTTACAGAAATATTCACTTAGCTAATGCTACCACTTTCTTAGGGTCAATGTTATTTATTAGAGTTGTATTTTTGTGAACTCAATGATCCATTTCCAGCCTGTTTTGTAAGTAATTTTACAGGATTTACATCACATTGCCATTTTTCTTTTGAAGCATAGTCTGATGTTTTAGGCAGAAACCATGCTTTAAATCAGAAAAGTTCTCATGAAATCCATGAGATTATTATGGTAAGTCAGTCATCTTATTTGGTTAACATTCAATACTTTCTTTACATGAGCAGAGGATTTTAGGTCATTTCCAAATAAGTATAATCAATAGTGAATATGAGAGCGTGACAGGAAACTGGAATGTGGTATGAAAATGTATTTGTCACTTATGTGTGTTTTTGCCCTTTCAGACAGATCTTGTTAACACCCTTGGAGAGTCTGCAGCTCTGGGTGCTTCTGGGGTTGTAATCTGGGGAGGTACCAGGGACTACAACAGCAAGGTAACTTTCAGGGCCTGAAGTCATTGACAAACAATCTGTATTGATATAAAATTCACATGCCGGCATACACATTGAATAGCTGATCCTCTCCTCTCTAAAGCAGAGGAGAGGATCTACCACTGAAGGTTTCTAGGTTGATCTGCAGATATGATCACAAAAACTCTGTTGAAATATCTAAACGGGAACATAAATGACCAGGCTTTAGTCAGCAATAACCGGAATGTCTTCAATTCCTCTTTCAGATAGAGCGTAGAGGAAAAAACACTGAGGTATTCTTATCTATGTGAACCAGTCAACCACCAGTTAGTCTTTTGTGGTTTATTGTTTCCTTTAATATAAAGTCAAACAAACATTTTTCTAAAGCTGTATTGGCCCTCTGGTATTTGAATTTTGGGTTTGCATTCATGTTTGTGCATCCTTATTTACATGTTAGTTTATTCTTTTGTGTTTATTTATTCTTATCTTTTATTTGTGCATTTACATTTAGCTTTTTTAGATCAATGTCTTCCTTTATTGTATCTGTTAGTTTCAAGCTTTCCCTTCAGCTTAGCGCCTGTAGTGTTCATTAGTCTCCCTTCTTCTGTTAACTTCAGCCTGCTGGTTTTTGCTCCTGCACTAGGTGTTCCTTTTAACATGCCTGTGTGCCGCCCATGTCATCATCTCCTCCTCCTTTTACTTAGTTGTCTGCTTTCATTGCACTTTGCTGTTTTCCCCGTCGTTTTGCTGCTTCTCTGCCCAAGACTTGACAGTTTTCAGCTTTCATTAATTAAAGAAAACGCATCATCCCAAGTTGCAACAAACTGGCGACCTGTCCAGGGTGTACCCTGCTTCTCCCCTGGAACGTAGCTGGAGATAGGCACCAGCAACTCCCAACCCCACTCGGGACAAACGTGAATAGAAAAAGGATGGGTGGATGGATAGCATCATCCCAAGCTCCTGCCTGGATTTTGATCCTACATTAAGTCTGCAAATCATAACAAGCCTATATTGAGTAGTTTGGTGGCTAGAAAATCTTTTTCCTCAATTTTATGAAATGAGTTATTGTCATATGGAATAAGACTTAAAGATAAACTGCATTTTGGGGCGTGCTGCGCCACCACAGCCTCAGCCCTCGACACAGACGTCGCGGGTTCAACTCCCGGTCCCGGCGATCTTTGCCGCATGTCTTCTCCCCTCTCCTGTCTGCCTACTGTCAAAAATACTAGCCACTAGCAGCACAAAAACTCTTTGACGAAAAAACAAAAGATAAACTGCATTTTATACATAATCCAAATACACAAAGCTCAAATTCAACGCAATTCAAATCAAATTCAAAAGTACTTTGATTCCAATGGAAAATTAAATGTTGTAACTCAATAAATTGGAAATCTACTGAGAGTTATTGCAGATAGTGGGCAGGAAAGATAACTCATAGCAGTCAATATTACAGCAAATCTGAAGAAGCCTCTGACTGAAGAGACAGTTTTCCTAATGCAGTCTCATGAAGAGAATGGTCAGGGTTGTCCATAATATTTTTGATTTGAATATCTAAATCAAGGTTTTAAGAATTGAAGAATCATTCTATGCCATAAATCTAAAGCCTGGGCCCACCGCAGTGCTTCCCTTCCACCAATTCTGCATATTGTCACTAGGCAGTGACAATATGTCACTAGGCAGTGACAATATGTATTTTGTGTAGCTCAGGCTAAAGTTAGCTCCGTTGAGAAGCGAAGGCAAAGTGGGTTCAGTTCCTACAGGTAAGGGATGTTTCACTTTGAAACAGATCAGTCAGTCGCTGACAAACTCAATGGACTGGTTGACAGGTGAAAGATGGTCTCAGATGCCTGTTTTTCTTCCTCTTGAAAACATTAAATGTGCCTTTTTTGAACATTATATCATCTTATAATGTTGAAGGTCAGCAGCAATTAGCAAACACCTAGCAGAACTATCCATCTACTGAACAACTTCTCCATCCAAAGCACCTCAGAACAGTTGCAAGCGGCATAGTGAAGAAACACTGTTGCGATAATTTGCACAATTCCTGAAAATACTAAAAAACAGTGAAAAACTGATGCGAATGGGATGATGTGTTTACAGGTGTGAAAGGAATAAAATATCAATAGGTACAAAATCAAGTTATGAATTGGTTCAGGGATGAGTAGATGTAGATGATTGTGCTCATTGATCCTTCAACTTCCTTCAATTTGTAGGCCTCCTGCCAGTCTCTGTCTGAATACCTGTCCTCCACGCTCAGTCCATATGTTGCCAATGTGACTGCGGCTGCCATGCTGTGCAGTAGGCTGCTGTGTAAGGGAAATGGCCGCTGTGTGAGGAAGAATTACAACAGCGCTCACTACCTTCATCTGAACCCCACCTCCTTCCGCATCCTAAAGGCAAGTGGGAAGTATGTCGCTGTCGGTCTTCCATCTGCCAGCGACCTCAGCGACTGGGTGGAGAACTTCACATGCCAGTGCTATGCTGGGTGGAGCTGCTTTCCTGAGCTGCGGCGTCCAACTCAAGTTCAACTTATAAGGGTTTAAATTGTGAGAGGAGTAAATAAATGGCCCTTGCTGCCTTCTTGTGATTGTGTAGTCATTGCTGTGAGAAAATCATATCATAAACAACGTTTGCTCACAAAATAAAGATACGGGGCAAAACCTTAAATTCCTGATTCCTGCAATGGAATATTTTTTCTTCCTTCACACAGTTGCTGAACCGACAAGAACAAAATAAACTTTGTGTAGTTCAACACATTTGCAATCCATTGAAATGTAACGAGAATGCTTTTTTGTTTGTTCGTTTATTTTTCTAGGAATAATTTATTGTCAATCTCAACAGATTTTAATAGAAAAATTGTTCCAGTCGTAAATAATTCCTTAATCAAATCAATACAACAGATTCTAATTTAATTACACGTGATCAAATGCAGTCTTAAAACAATGACTTGAATTCAGTTAATTATGACAAATGGTTAAAAAATATATCTGTCCCCTCTGATCAAGCATGTGGTGTTAGGGAGAAGATGGTGCAGCCATTAAACAATTTATTGAAGCCTAGATGATAATGTCATGGTAAACTTTTGACAGGTTAATTCACCACATTTTCGATCAATGACAGCATAGATACAGATGTATTTCAAGGCAACATCTAAAGCTTTCTTACTATCCATAACCCAGGAAAATTAAGACTAAGATTTGGAGATATGTCCTGTGGTTTGATCATAACTAAAATTATAGTATTTGGTTATATGAGCCATCAGTGAATCAGGAACACCAAGAACTTAGAAGCACTGCTCCAGGTTTAATATAGCTGTCCCTTATTCATGTAAAAATACAGAAATTAAATTCAAATCGTAATTTAGGTTTTTGCTGCCTCCCTCATGTTATTATTCCTTCCTGATGTCATCACTTGTCTCCTCTGTCACTGACCTCATGCCTGTCTCCTTCACTCCTCGTCTTTGGTGTTATCCACTAAATCATTTTATCAAAAAAGCATTATCTATTACTTATAAAAAATTATAGATATTAATACAGGTTTTAAAAATAATATTTAAAAAATATTGCTTGGGGTGAAGTAGCTGTTCCCTCATTTCCACCTAATATTAGACCAACCTGTTGCCTTCCTGTCTGTCCCGATACATCTTCGCTTCTTTCTCTCCATCCTCACAGCTGAATTACATTCATTTTGCGTTAAGTCGGTTTAAAAATACAGCAGTCAAAATATAATAAAATGAATCTTTAAATTTAAATGATCTCCTTGTTGGATAACAGCTGCTGACTGGATACTGGATCTGATCTGACTTATCAGATACATCACAACACCACTGTATTAATATTGAATGAAGACATTTAAACTCAAGTGTCTCCCTGCCAAGTCCTAGAAGAAGAGTCACCAACATTTTTGACTCTAAGGACTGTAATAGGACTAATTGGTTTGATACCAACATAAACTTGTACAACTCATCTATATTTAAAGTATCAATAATAATGTACATATGTGTGAATAAATTTAAAGCAATTAAAAAGAATTAAAAAAAAAACAGGCCCATATTTTATTATTTAATTTATAAGTGAGCCAAAGAGCCACATCCACCAGCCTCTAGAACAACATGTGGGCTGCAGGTCTGAGGCATTTTGTTAGCATGTTTTCCTTCATTCTTATAGCTTCACAGAAAGTCAGGTCATCCAAACTGGCAACCCACATTATCCATCTGATGCGTCAGTGGGTCCTTTTGACCAGATAAGATCATCTTTTTGTAATATCTTTGTGATAAAAAGTTTTTATCACTTCATATTGCAGGTTTTCTTCAAAAATATGTTGCTGATATTATGCAATTCAAATTTCTTATTTACATTTTCTACATTTAAAAAAATATGTTTAATATTACTACCCCATTCTTTCACGAGTAGGTCAAAAATGACCCGCATTCATTTCCTGTGGAATTTAATGGGAACTTTTATTCTCACCACCTGTGACTGTCAGGAAAACATTTTTTGTGAACTGTGAACCTAACTGTTACCCCTGATTAATAATATTTAACAAGCGAGAGAGTATGTTGAATGATATGCAAAACTTGGTGATCATTGTGTTCAAGGCTCATTCTTTTATCATCTCAATAAATAAAATAAAAAATCATAGCTAATTAAATAAATACATAAATTTATTTAAATTTGGAAATAAACAATGAATATAGTGCCTACTCTGGGTAGGGGGAGGAGTTCAAGTATCTCAAGATCTTGTTCACAAATGAAGTAAAAGTGGAGGGAGATCGACAGGCGGATTGGAGCAGCGTCTGCAGTGAAGTGGAGCCTGTAGACCACTGATCACCTGGAGGGCCCAGCTCCTGGATCTTCACACACCTGCAATTTGTTTGCTTCATCAGCATTGAGTATAAGAGGAGTAGTCTGCCAGCACTGGTAGGTTGAGTGTTAACCTATCCTGGTACTCTGAGCCCCTCTGAGCTTTGACTCTGTGATCTACAAGCAAATCTCCAGTCGATATCTACCTATTGTTCTGTTCCTATGTAACTTTCCGTGGTGCCTTGGACCTTTCTCATTGTGCAGTCTGAGCTACTCGGCTTCTGGATCTCCCTTCATGGATATTACCCATTGTGTTGCCTGAGAACCCCACCTTAAGTAAACTCTCTCTGAAAAGATCTTCTGGCTTTCTCATCCACCTGACTGCTCCTCTTCACTCCGCTGTCAATGTGTCCACATGTCCGCCCTCCAACGCAAGTCTAAAGCATCTGTCAGCTCACACTCCTCCTCCAGAATCAACCAATGACAGAGACCACAGTGTGCCCCCACTGGTGGATTCTTCTCACCCAAACAAATAAGCTGCCCAGTCTCCTCATCTAATTTCCACTGCTCTATACTTGTTCTCAACTCTGCTCTCATCTTCCCCTATAGACCAGACAAACTCGGTTTGCCAGTCAGTAGTCAAGAACCACACATTCAATCATTTTTGTCATTTGTGCAATAAATTTATGGGTCAGGTTTCAAGCCTCTAACATGACAAGTTCTGGTGGTTTGAAACTAGAATCAAGTCTAAATCTTGTGCTTCATGAGAGCTGCAGCTGAGAAAAAGCTTTATCTTAGGGAAAGAAGTGAAAAATGCAGAATCTGTAGATTAACCACTCAGCATTCAATGTCAACCTTATTTGATGAGTAACAGTTCAGAAGTGCTGGGAAAAAAACAATTGTAGTGGTTTGAATCTAGAACCAAGTCTAAATCAATAATGTCTTATTGGGCAGCAGTGGACACACCAGACCAGTCCTGAGGTCTTCTAATGACTTCTAAAGGTAAATGCGTTGTTTCCTGTGATGCTGTGAAGGCTCACCCCTCAAACCTGAGTGAAGTTGCCCCTCCCCCCCACAAACACACACACACACACCTTCTTGAAATCAGACAAAATGGGTGTCAATTGACGTTTGTGCTGCAAAAATTTTCATTTGTGGTGCTTTCCAAATTGTTTCCTGGCTTTGAAGACATTAATGAAAGGTCAAAGTCAAAAGGTCAACCAGCCCCCTCACTTTTATGAAATCAGCCAAAATTGGCATCAAACGTTTGCACATACCAGACATTCATTTTGTCTGATTTCAAGAAGGTGGAGGGGCCAACTTCACTCAGGTACCCCACCCACGTGTCCTTGGCGAATGCCATGACCAACTGTGTGAAAATGGTCCTGCCCAAAGCCGGCCTTTTATGGCAAAGCATGCGGGGTCATGTGTGCTCACCTTGACCTTGCACTGTGTCAGAGGAGTGTCACCGGCTGCTCCCGTTCCCAGGCCTCATTTCATATACTTACATGTTTTTTTCTTTTTTGAAGTATTTCTTCAGCTTTCACAAAACAAATAACAGCATTGTAGTGAATAACAACAAATATGTTCTACTTTCTGTGAGCTGAAGTAAAAATATTTTCTTCCCTTCATTCTCTCTAGGAATTTCTCAAATCATTTCCTGAAATCAAAAAGGTATTTTTTCTGGTTTACTAAGCAATGAGAAGTTCTATTAACTTTTAGTTTTATCTTATTTTTAATCTATTATTTGCATTCAAGTTGTGATTCCAGTGAAATATTTATTTCACAATCTCATTGTTGTATTTCCACATAATTTGGATCTGTATGTGGAGGACTGATGAATAATGTAGAGATTCTTGTTTCTCAAGTAACTGTCAAAATGTATGTACTGCAAGAATATAGCAGTTATAAAAATCATGACACTTCACATATCTTACATTCAAAATATTTACTAACATAATTCATAAATAATCTTTTATTAATCCCATTGATAGCTGTAATGTTATAACAAAACATAACAGGAAAATTAACTGCTCAATGGCAAATTCCAATAATTCCAAAGTCTACCACTTTTTATCCAGTAGTGTTTCCTTTTAGGCCAGAGGCAGTTCCACAGCAAGTCAAAAGGAAAAGGTTTAAAATTTGAGTCCCACATTAAATCTCTGAAGTTTTAGCACTCTATTAACAATCGTAAATTATTATTGTTTAATTTCAAAGGCTATTTAGGATCTGTCCCCTCAGGAAGCACTTTTGAAATATGTTGCTCAGTATGAACCTAATGCAGGTAACAACATGCTGAGGACGGAGAACAACAGAAATGCGTGTGGACATTTGGCTTGCATGAGGATCGTGAAGGAAAATCCCACACATGTCCGCCAGGTGCGACCCTGGTGAGGTGTGTGTGCAAGAGTCGGTTTGACAGCAGAAGAGGAAGCTCTGCACAGATCTCACCCAGATGGCCTTGGAAAAAGTGCAGGTCAAGTGTAGGTCGCATTCGCAACCAGTTCTTGTTTTTCTTACTATGTATGTTGGAATGTGTTTATCTCTGAGTTGCAGCCTGTGTGTTACCCTTCCTCCTATAGAGGCTGTGACTCTCATGTAACCAGGGAAACCTAAAGAAATAAAAGGAGTTGAGAGCCAGGGCGTGCTCAGAGTGTGTTGGAGATTGTAACTGAGTACGTCTCTGGGGCACTCTCCTCGCGAGTAAACTTTAACTGATGTGTTGTGTCTTTCTTTCCAGGTAGTGTTTTACTAATGTTAGGGGTTTAACCTGACAACCACTCAA